AGGAAGGTGTAGCAATGGCTTTGGGGGCTTTCCCAGTCATCTGACTCCCCCACCCCCACCATGCCTTGAAAAAATAACAACCCCAAACACACTCTCCCCCACAATGTAAAGCACAAACTGCCTCCCCAAATGAGTTGTTCAAATTGCAAGAAACATGGAGATTACATAAATACAAGTCCTCTAATTTCCATAAATGTGGCTTTCGGGGTGTCAGGATCTGGCAGTTTTAAGCATATGGTTATTTCCAGAGCCTCTAATTCCAATTAATTTTCACACCAATAGTATGATGCAATTTCTCAAATTAAAAAAAAATGAAATGATGCAACAATTGCATAGCCTTGCTCTCTTAGCTGTGAGGCTTTTCAGCAAGAAGAAAAGGCAAGAAACTCCTGCGGGGGGGGAGGGGGGGGAAGCAGACCAACACAACTCTGAATCATACGCGAGAGTGCAGCAGCCAGGAAGTTTTTTTTGTGCTTTCTCCCCCCCCCCAAAAAAAAAGTCTGTAAAGGACTTACATACAATTCAGGGGGTTAAGAATGAACACAATGACTATCTAGTCCCATTCAATGAAGTATTAAATGCCCACTATGCTACGCATTAGCTCACGTAAACACCCTGCGCTTTCAAAATTCATCCCCTAAGAACTGCATGCACCCAGGATAGATTTCGTACAATGCCGCTGTTTACAGAGACGCCAGATCAAATTAAAAACAACATAACACTGGGAATCAGTCTGATATAGCAAATTCCAAAGACCGGAGGGAGACGTAGTCTGAAGGAGGAGAATAACGACCTGGATTTGGCCTTTGGAGCACACAGCATCACGACGCGATGCCTCCTTCACAGTGCCCTTCCCTTTATTATAGTCTAGAGCAGGGGTGTCAAACATAAGGCCTGGGGGCCGGAACCGGCCCGCCCAGGGCTCTTATGTGGCTCGCAAGCAACTAGTGCAAGGGAGGGGACAGGAGACTGCTTGAGGGGGGGGGCAGTGGGCAGAGCCACTCCGATTGTGGCTTCAGCGTGGCGGAACAACCTCGTCTGCAGCAGTCAAGCAGCGTGGGAGCGTCTGCCCAGTGCTGCACCGCTGGCTCTCCAGTCCGCCCAGATGGGTTTTCCTTTGCACACACCCCCTTCCAGCTCATGAGGCCTTGCAGCAGGGATACCCCAACCTGGAGCTCACCAGCTGCTGTCTTTTATACAGTTTATGTCTCCGGTACCTGACATTACGTTTTATGGCACACATGGCCCAGTCCCGACAAAGTGACATTTATGTAAGATCTGGCCCTCATGACAAATGAGTTCGGCGCCCCTGGTCTAGAGATCGTAGTTCAGCACATTTTAAGAATTTAGGGGACTGTTAGGATTAACTAAAAATCCCTACATACGTTGGGAAACAAAGACTGCGCCGTCCCACCCATCCCACTGAGTTGGCCTCAACAGCCTCCGGGGGCCCCTTTGACAGTCAGGCCTAGGAGCAACACTTGCACAGCAGCAAACTTTGTGGGCCCAGACACAACAACTGAAAAATCTTACAAAGAATGCGAGAACTGCACTTCAATTACTTGGGTTGGGGTTTTGACAGACAAAAGGTATGTCCACGCAAGGCTGCCTGGATCCGCTTCAAAGTGCAGGTTATTACCTATAAAGCCCTATATGGCCAGGGTCCAGCCTACCTGAGGGACCGCTTTGCCCCACATGTTCCCCCAAGAGCACTACGGTCGGGACCCCAAAATTTGTTGGGTCATCCCGGGCCCTAAGGATGCCAAACTAGCTGTGACCAGGGCCAGGGCTTTTTCGGTGGCGGCTCCTACCTGGTGGAACGAGCTCCCGGGGGAGATCCGGGCCCTGCGGGACCTTGTGCAGTTCCTCAGGGCCTGCAAGACGGAGCTCTTCCGCCAGGCCTTTGAGTAGGAGCCGCCCCCCCATTATACCACCACTGTCAAGGTACCTTAAAGGATGCATTGACGAGGCCCGAGGAAGAACCTGGAAATTGCAGAAGATCTGATTGGGCACGTACACCATGGGAGGACCATCTGGAACTGTGGTGATACCATCTTGGATCTAGGATACTAGTAACTGGATTGAGTACTGTGGTTTTAGTGTTGGATGTTTTTACTATGTTTTTATATGTTTTTACCTATGGCATGGCTAGCGACCTTGACTCTGTTAGCCGCCCTGAGCCCACTGGGGAGGGCGGGATACAAATGTGAAATAAATAAATAAATAAATAAGATGGGATACAACGGACTGGTGAGAAGGTGCAATCTTCTTTCTCTAGAGCCAGTAGCCTCAATATGACTAGAAGCTTGTTTGGCTAAGACCTGTACTAAGTGTTTGCCTACTCTGAGGCAGGGCTTTCAGAGCCCCCCCCCCCCACCTCCCCTTCTTGACCTCATTTTTTAAATAACTGTTCACAGCCATTTTCCCCCCGCCCTCGGTGAGGGCTTCTTTCTCCTTCAGTCTGACCCTAGTCAATTAGAATCATGTAATAGACATGATCACATCACAATATTATACAGACAATTATAGCTTACTATGCAACAACAACACTGAGGGCAAATGAAGCCAATTTAGAGTGATGGGAATTTCCCAGGCTGGTCATAGCCAACCTGGAAGAGGAGCGAACCATAGCCTATTCTGCGTAACGTTCCCTGACAGATGATGGAGGGGAGCGGTGGCACAGAGGATTTATCCTCTGGTTAACATCTGAACTGAACAGAGTTGCTGTCAGTTCTAGCCCACACTGGTGTGAGCTACCGGCCTTGTCCCCAGCTCGCCATACACCCAGCAGTTCGAAAGCTTTGGCGAGTAGATAAAATGGGTACCACTCCTTAGAGAGGGTGTGCACACTAAACCCCGTAGGGGAGGTGTTAGCTGGCGAATGGAATGTCCCGCTCATAAGCTCAGAAGCCTGATAAAAAGACCTCTTCGGCATTAAGAAGCCTGTGATGGGCTAATCCGGCCAGGCGGTGGCAGTGCGGCGCAACGATTCAAAGCAGCCCAGGAAGAACCAAGGTCATCAAGCCAAGCCGAAAAGTGAATGCCTCCGGAACACGTCTGAAGCCTAAAGCTGAACAAAAATCCCCGTCGGCTGCAAAATGTGTGCGATTTAAAGAATTATATGTTGTCCTCCCTTACCCCTATGAAAATGTTAGTCCCTTGTGTGAAACCGTGTAACTGTCAATCGCTCAGAGCCAGCAGCTCTGCCGGATTGAGCGATCAATAAATCAAAAGGTA